GCCTTGTTTAAGTTCATCATACATTGTAATATACATTCTATTTCATGGTACTAAGTTGTAAATTGCAACACTCGTCCGTATCATTAATCGTCTGTATACACTTCACATATTTATAATCGCTTAAACCTTTAAACATTATATAATAGTAAGTGAGGTAGTCTTTACTTACATCAGCCGTACGAAGAACACAGAGAATAAAACATTATAATTATATGTATGTAAAAAAGATGAGGAATATTATTATTATGATAATAAAAAAAACTCCGTTCAAATATGTCACTATTATAGTAATATGAAATTGTTATCCTCTGATTAATTATTATTGCACTATATCCAGATACATTTATAGATACGATTTTTTTCGTAACTTATCTTGCGTATATGTGTCAATGAAATCGTTTCAACTTGACAATTCGTATTGTATGATTCATTTTAATATTTCCGTGGACAGTTCAGTTTTAGCTTCATCCAGCTGTAATATATGAAAGGTTCTCGGAGCTCGTTCACAACATTCAATTATACAATCGATCATAAAGCAGTCCTCTGGCTTTAACGACCGCCCCAGTGAGCCTTGTCACGTTAGCAGTAAGGTTCACAATGGAACCGCTCGCAACAACACATTATAGAGCTTTCGATAAAGGCGTAATTAAAAGTAATTCGTTTTATTGTTGCTTTTATACTTCACGAGTCCCGACATTAACTCCAATGATCCAATATTTTACAAGTTTACAAGTCCCGATGTCACGGGACTCGGATGTATAATAAAAACGGAAATCTCTTCATACACAAACATACAAACATTGGTTCATTTGTCTTATGAATATTAAAACTGTTCATTTTAAACCTTAAGATTTCCTAAACATGAACCAGTTCTTCCGTGTAAATTTAACAGTCGCAGTAAACTTTCTTGGTGTGATCTTTATACGGGTACTTACTCTTATATTAATAAAACAAACTTTCAACGTGAAACATTAGAACAAGTATAATAATATAGTTTTCAACTTTATTTTATGACCTATAAAATTAAACCGATGGCATTCCACCTCGAAACGTTTTGCTAAACTTTGACTTAATATTTTTAACGTAACAAACCCCTCAAAATTCTCCTCCAAATTCTAAAATATTATGTTATTTCGTGATACCTTTTATTAATCTCCTATGTTATTTATTTCATTACTTTAATATACTTCAATTGATATTCTAAAACTACTTACTATCGGTTTTCAATAAAAAAAAAATAACATAGTTAAGGCACCTTCAACTACAAGGTACGACGGGGGGTCGGAACGCCAATTATATATATATTTGTTTTTCAAAGTTAATTTAAATCTCAAGTTTCCCTTTAAAAAGATGAACGAATTTCGTCGGCAGAATATTCATGTTTTCCGAAGTAGTCGAAACCCAGCGAAATCTAAATAGGTTTATTAAAAACCAAACTAAATAATAAATGAAATCTACTCAAACCGTTTCACTCTCCGTGAAATAATAGTCGGTTAAAGTCTGCTGAACTCAAGAACATTGTTGGTAGCTCAGACGTTAAATGTAGCAACATTTATTATAATGAAATCATTATAAATTCCTTTAATGGCAAATGTACATATTATAAAGTAAATTTGAGTACGGTTCATGGTGTACCTTAAAATACATATTTTGCTCAACATTAGCCGTAACGAAGGAAATTTTGTTGAATATTCATCATGGATTACCATAAACAAACACGCTGTACTCCAAGAAGAACTACACTGTCGCTCCACAACGGACTTGCAATTTTTCTTGGAGACTTTGGAGAACAAACTTTATATATATTTTTAACATGAGTAGGTACCAAACCTAGAAAACTATCGCAATATATGTACCAGAGAATTAAATTAGATAGTACAACGGATCCACATCGTCACTTTAATATGGAAATAAGTTCTAAAATGAGTTACAAATGATGTTATTAATTTGAAGGACATCTATCTCTTCACACGGTGGAGTGGTTGTATTATGCAGTGTCTGAGGAGGAGACGAGACGAACGCCACACCGCATTTAATGAACGACGTTACCGAAACACTTTAGACACGTTTTGTTAATGGTTCGTGTAACATAATATATACAATAACTGAACGAACTCGCTTACCGTCATACTTGCACCTTAATAATGACGATACAGGCTTATAAGAATTGGTATTATTTGACCGTAAATAATTTTATTTCAATTATTTATTGTATATAATAATCCAAGCTAAATATTAAAATATGTAAATAGAGTTTCTGTTTATAAAATTGAATATTATTGTCAAGAAAGAATTAATGTATGTTTATTAATTAATTTGTGTACAGTTTTCAGTGCTTCCAAATAAACTAAACCGTTCTTACTGTTGTAAAAACCTAGGGTAGGGCGAAGTGTTGTCACTTGTATCTTCAAATGTTTTAAGAGCTACCCAAGGTAGATTACGAAACCCTTTACAGAGAACACTGAACTGCACTCTAATAGAAGGACGTAGAGCTCACTCTCGCCGAGTGCTGGGGATAGTAAAATCCGTTTAAAAGCATGGTTTTATGCGTACTGTAATGAATGTCTCAAAGCGGGGAGATTGTAATTATGACGGCACGTCATTTAATAGCGCCTTTGTTAGGCACAACAATCAAACGAGCTAGTGCCGGGGCAACAAATAGACAGGCTTCAGATAATAGGCAACCGCACTTAGCTACACCTAGCCCTATTATTAAAAACTGCGTTCACACTTCTCTTAGATTGCTCAAATACAAAAGAAACTTATTTTTAAATATTTGTACTATAGTTTCAAAAAAAAAAGGAGTTTGTGGTATTTGAAAAATAGAGATAATGACGGCAATGAAGATGGTTAGAGTTTTGCTTTGTATTAAAATCATTACTTTAGTGGATTCCAAAGTCGTGGATGTCAATGTTTATTTAGAGTTAAACCTATTGTAAAATAAAGATCTTTTATAAGTGCAAAACCCAATAGTCATGCATCCAACTTAACTATTACCATAAAGACGAAAGTATATTTTTACAACAAATATATTGAAGAAATTTCAAAGGTAAAATATTGAAGAGTACTCATGGTTAAAAAGAATTTGTTCACGTTAATGAAGTTTTTTGGAGACATGAATTAATTCAAAGAGTACTCTTCAACCGGAGCAGACCTTCGTGCAGATCCAAATTCAATGATACTAAAACAATTAGAACATAGAGAAAATACGATTACTATTATTTTCATTTAAATATATTATTAGATTACAGATTACAGTGAAAGTATTATATTAGTATATATTTTTGTTCAAATGTATTATTATCTTTCTATGATTTTTTTTTCTTTAATTTGGTGTCTATTTTGAACAACTTGAACTTCAAAACTTCACCTCAGAGTATATTATCAGGTAGTCACAACCAAATACGGAATCATTTTTCTCGTTATATGTGTAACGAAATCAATCTTAACCTTAGTGACCCTGCCACCAGAATAGACTGAGTTTTCACAATCGTTACCAACGATATTCTAATTATACATTAGAGTTTAGACAGTAACCTATCCATCGCCCACTTGTGTTATTTGTTACTTACAAGAGACTAAATTGCCTCAATCTTTATCTTCAGAATTGCTAATTGAAATTTTTTTGTTCTATTCCAAGTCTTAACTTGAATGCGTGAATTAGATGCGTGGGTTTTTGATAAGAAGAACAGTTTGTTCAAATATTATAGACGTAACGTTGATATTCACATTAATGCTTTAAAGCAAGGTACTTGATACTTTAACTTCATAATTCGAAATGCTTTACACTTTACAAGTGCAATCTCTAAGTTCCCCTTCGTTTACTATATGAATCATTATTGAAATTAATCTGATTATTTTGAATGTCAATACGTTTCATGTTGTTTCTTCCTACCGTTATAAGCTTCACTTTTTTTTTAACTTTTTACAACTTTAACAGCATATAATCACTTTAAAAATTATTTAAGTTTGCCGTAAAAAGTAGTACAATTAAGTTTTATCAAAATAAGTATACGGAATAAAACATAAATAATATTCTGTTGTTCTAAACGTGCAAAAATAAATGTTGAGTTTAGATAGAATACTTCAGATGATTGGTATTTTATCGCTGGCAATCGGTCGGCTATGTTGAAAGCTCATCTTTTTCTATCGTGACTAAAATGCATAACTATTTTATATCATATTGATGGAATAAAAATGAAACCGTTCAGCTAGATTGGCAACAGACTAAAAAATAGGATTCAACATTTTATTTAAGCCTTAAAATGTAACTTTTACGAGATTTTGCTTACTCTTTGTTGAACCACTATGTTATTCTTAGTTATTCTTATATTAAATTTACTCCTTAAAAGTCCTTGTATTTTAAAATCATAGTCTCACTTTTATCTATTTGACTCCTGACCCTTAAGAGTAGAGGAGAATTATTGAGACAACTTACCTATCGTGAAGGGTGCAAACAGTATATAACAACGTCGTTATATCTGTGTTATAATTCTATTTGCTATTCGAGGGACTATACAACTGGAAAGACATTTTAGAACCGTAAAATCATGATCCCCCCCATTGGCAGTTAAAACCTTCAAATCTTCAAAGTAGTTACTGTATTCTATGTTTACTGTATTCTAAATTATTTATTCTGCATATTAATGACACTTTATGCAGATGACGTTATTCATGATATTTTATACACTAGCTGAGTTTTTTAGAAGTCTGAACAAGTATATATGTTAGTTAGATAGTTAGGAGATATTTAAGTTACAACGTGGCGTAGGGTTAGAGGAAATTTTGAAGATATAATAATAAAGTTTATATGTGTATAATGTAACTATAAAATGAATTTACTACAATATATAATATAACATTAACATTATAATGATATATCAGGCACGCTGCCTCACATAAATTCTCTAACTGGTTGTGCTAAGCCCATTAATGTTTAAAAAGTAGCCAATATGACAATATAGCTTATTATCGCAATAGCTATTTTTCTGCACATTATATCACACTTGCCAAATTTCCTCCAAATCTAATAGCCCGCTGCCAATTTTTGCTTCAAATCTAGGTCGTCCATACACAGCATTGAAGCCGCTCTTTACGATACCATTTTCCATGCATTTGTATTGCAAAGTGTTCGAAACGTTCGATTTTATTGAAACCTGAATATACGAAAAAGCATTATGTTCATTTCCATATATAAGCCCTATCAAAATCATTTGCATGTTTTCACGTATAAAATTCGTAAAGTACTGTAAGTCGATATACCGTCAATTAAATGTGGTTAGTTTTTTTTATATTTTTGCTTCCATAAGTGTTGTAATGTAGTACTCACCGTTCTGTTGCCGAGGTTTCTGACTCTGCAGCTGAGGTAGGCAGACTTGCCGACGAGTGCGGTCACGTTCCGGGGGGTGGCCGCGTCGAAGGAGGGCGCCGCGCGGGAGCCTGTACCTCCGGGGAGAGCGTTCACGGAGCCCGCGCCACCAGCCACATCACAAGCACCTGATACGACACATTCTTTAAGGGTTTCTAGTAAAACTTCGTTGAAGGTCTTACAGTACAAGCTGTATGAGTTCCCACGAGCTTGAGGAGAGCATGTACTCGTCGGTTAAAATAAATTTATTTTTAAGTTATTTATTTATTAATGTTCTAATAATAATATTCTTTTCAGCTCCATAATTTTTGTAAAATAACTTCAAAACTCCAAAGACTTATTTTATAATATCAATAACCGCTATTCAAAGAAGTGAATAAATAAGGAGATTTCGGAGTGAAGTTCGCCGCTAGGCATCAGACAAAGAAATGAATTAAGCAACACTCCAAGACCTACCCATTGTATAAATGAATGTTTAATTAAGACTATGAAGAATGAGCTCGAACACAAACGGAAATAAACTACTTAGCGAGTGTCACCTCAAGAGATAGCTTATATTACCACAATAGAGGATCCTTCACATTGAATCCCTCTTTATTATTATAATACCATATAAGTTGATAAACAAAAACACAGTATTATTGAGGAATGTTCGTTATTCTGAAACGTTTGTATCACGAATCATATCTCTGTTTAATTAGTCATCATCATTATTATCAAATATTATATAAGGGCAACACGTTCCACATCTGTTTCATATCGATTCAATTGTTTTATAATGGTTTTATTATATATTTAATGTCGGCCGCAGGGACTCAGCCATATTAAAATATTAATATGAACCTTCAATATAAATTATGTGCAAAATAAGACAGTTCTTATCTTGTAGCATATTATATAATAACAACGAGGAAAGAACGGAGTTGTGTCCTCTTGTGGAAAGACATAGAAAAACATTAATAATGAATTTTCAGAAACAAGATCAAATGCTATGTTTCTGACCATAGTGCCAGTCTTCGATATATAGTCAGAGAAATCTAGCTGCATCCAGTGCAATACACGAGCAATTAAGAAATCATTGGCAGTAGATGACAAATAGCAAGACATAGTGACATAAACTTTCAGCTCGTCTGCCTGTGATCACGGTTGCCTTGAATAACTTAGTCAAAACGTGAAGTAAAATATAGAAAAATAAAAACAGATAGTAAATATAAAAATCTTAAAGTACACTCATTTAAATTAAACTAGTTTTTCAGATGCTACGCGGTTGTTATATTTTTTTAACTGCATAATCCCGTCGTTTCGGTTCCTTTGCAACGACGACGTGAGGATTACGTAATTAAAATAATAATAAAAAACGGAAACTACATTTTGATTTATTTTTGCCCTCGGGATTGTCTTAAATTATAATTAGAATAATCAGATCAAATGATTTAGGAAGAAGTTAGACTCAGCCATAAGATAAATAAAAGTTGAAAACGATGTGACATCCTTCAAAGTATATGTTTTTATTAATTGAAAGATTAAAGTATTTTCTTATTATGTACTGCTAACATATAGTTGCTTATGCCAAATTTAACGTAAACTAACAGATTTAACTTTTATTCTGAGACCAGTAGGATGATATTTTAAATCAATAAAATATATACCTATCGTATAACGTTGTGGCTTTTTAGTCCGCTAGCAGCAGAATGATAATAATGTATTGTTAGTTACATTTAAGAAGACGTAATGCCGCATCACGCTCTGATTATTATTGATTGATAGTCAAACCATCAATAACGATTATTGAACCGACAACCAACAACCGACTACCGACAACCGGAGACAAGTGTATCGAGCGAGGGTGGTGGTGGTGCACACTGATGCATCTCTATAGTCATTGCCGACTGATTAGCTCCTCGTGTGTACTAGCACGGTATACGGGCTCGAGCTGTGCACCCTCGGCCTCGCCACCAATAACCTACATTTGAATTTTGTTATACAACTGCGACTACTCTTATAACACGACATTTACTTTTGTGTGGATAAATATAATGAAGCAACGATATGTTTAAATAATATTACAATTTTGTCTATTGTATATTTCTATTTTATTTCAATGCTTAATATTCGCCTCCACCGCAACGTTTGCGCCATCATCCAACCTCATCCGTTGTAGGAGATGATTATCTTAATCCGTCATAATGTAGTTTACGATCCACCAGCACTCAGCATCCCGGGTTAACGATATTGATTGGTAAGTTTATGCCCCATCAGAGATAACACCGTGATTTCGTTTATTTCACAAACTTCCTGTTTAAACGTTTTATGAATTTAATACTAACTTTGCTTTTCGTCGATGGATAACATAAAGTTTAGATCACTCTGCTTTAATAGCTACCTCATTACACACAGAATGTGACCAAAAAAACTTTTCAGTTTATAATGAAACTGGTACTGATGATACCTACAATGATAGCGGCATTTGTAACAAATATATGTATTTTAAATTATAAACTGGGACGTTTAAAAATACATTTTGTGTGAGTAATAGAAAGATGAAGTTACTTAGTTGATCATCACAGAGTATAGAGAATACAATGTATTTAATAATTGTATATAACATAGCGACTAATAGTAAATATATTTGAAACAATGAAATTGAAATACCATCGCTATAATTAGCAATCAAATGGCAACCGGAGCACTCGATGAAGAGGCCCTCTCGTTGTATGAGTGATGCGAGAGGTTTATAATACAACACGTGGAAACACTCCGCTGACAAATTATTTGATTTATCAGAACAAAGGATCGCGTCATCGATAAATAATTATCGGCTGAATGTACATTTAACAAACCGTTCAACAGATCTACGTTATATAGCAAATATTAACTAAATATCATATTATTAACACACTCTATACAGAACTAAATCCCAAAATATGTTACAACAGTTGTTAATGTTTTGTTTCGCTACGATTGGTCCTGAAATACCTATTTAGAATACACAGACAACAATGAAGCAAGCTTCAAATATACTTTAAATGCTAAAAACATGTTTAATATGAAGGAACATGCGAGTGTGTGTACTCAACACGACCACTAAGCTCCGCACAACTAATAGTAATTGTACCCTTGTACCGCCCAGGAGACCAGTTGTGTCAGCTCCGCTTCACGTTGCCTTTGTTCTGCTCGACCCACCTCTGTTTTGTTATTCATTATGTTTTGATTACGGAATCTTGGAAAATTTAAAGCTCCGAAACGAATGGATTACGTCGCTTTTAATAAATAAGACGTTGATACCTTTTACTTTATACATAGTTTACTTGAATGTTATACAAATTAGGAATGTCGTTTAATCAGAGATGAAACAAAACCATTATAAGGAAGATTACCTTTGTTATCATTCATTACTTATATAGAAACGCACATATATATGAAAATAATAAAGATCTCGCTAATTTCTTCCATCAATCTCGAACATCCAAATGACACCCCGCTTAATCAATCGTACATCAGAGACGGACACTTCATGGATATTGCCCTAATTGGTCGATACGCTTCTTATTTTTCCACAAAAGATGAAATGAACCTTATCACTATACAAATAAAAGCAATGATTCTGCACATTACTTATATTGATAATTACAAAAATGGTCTTTCAGAATTCGTGAAGGATAATGACACCTATGTGGATTAGAATAAGAGCGATGACACCGTAAAGATACATTCCGTGACTACAGATTGGTTGGGAGAATGGTGGAATGGGAGTGATAAAGCGATCTGTAGAGCTGACGTCCTCAAGGTTGGTCATCGAAAAAACGATTAACCCGGTGTGGACGTTGACAATGAATCCGTCGAGATGTGGAGAAATTGAGAAGTAATTTGATTCGATCAGAACAAAGATTGATCGAAAAGGATCATTAAGATACCATCGAGTAGATCCAGAGGAAATGGAATACTGTGATGTGAGGACCAGATACGTTCAATAATACGAAACATTTGTTACACAGTAATGATACAGATGTCATTGGAAGCTCTTCAGTCTTCTTGAATATAATGAAAGTTTATTCGATAATTCCGTAATAATAATAATACAGCAACAAAAACATATGACTTGTTGAGAGAAAATAATTAAACAAATGGTTTGTTTCAAATTCAATACGTGAAGGGAGTCCTAAATATAATTCCTTAAACACTTTTTTGTTAGTAGAAACTATTTTAGTTAGGACTGTAAAACTGTCAGTGAGATCACTCGGTGTATTTGAGTTTCCAACGACCTGTCAACATATAAAGAATATGGTGTGAAGGATGACACTCCCCTCATTGTCGAGCTCTACTCGTAACTCTACTGATAGTTATTTTGTTTTATATGTAGTTATATTCTTGTTTCTTTAATAATATTTTTAAACTTAATTGTCTATTCAAATATATAAAATAGATACTGCTATTTCATTAATCTACTTTAAATATCAGTTAGACATTTCATAGTGTTAAAAAGATATTTATTAGTGCAATATTCGAAGCCCTTAATTTTCATTCGTTGGCAATAGAGAACAACCTGATTCAAATATTTCTGCCATGGCGTCATTACATGCTGACTGATTTTTATCACGTTTTTGTGGTTTGTACTCACCCACAAACAAACCACACTCCAATGTGAAGTTTATTTTATAGGAGTTGTAGGATACAAACAAGAAACTAGCATATTCTTAATAGGTATTATATTTACTTAAATTTCTTGATAACTTTTTTACTAATACTTTTAATAGTTGAATATATAACGTCAATTTTAAATTTATATCATGTCTAAAGCGATGGTAGTTTTAAATCCAAAGTATTAGCGACCCGACCGATGTTGTAGGTTTATTAGGAAAACTTTATAATCATAGTCCCAGGATGTGTCATGTGTGGGTCCTTCCTGTCCCAGGAAGTTTGTCGCTTAAAGTAAGCAAAACTAATCCCATATTACAGAGCCATTATTACAGCCTCACCTGTTCCACACACAGTACATACATAGCTGACACACATCACACCTCCAATTACATCTATGACCCGACACGATCACATAAAAAGCTTGTATTAACATGTGCGGCCCCCGTTTTGTAAGTGACTGTTGAAGTATGTAATTCTTATAGAGTTATTGTAGCCGGTTGACTTAGTAGTTGTGGCTGTTCAGATGTTTACGTTTGACGAACAATAAACAAACAAACACAAACTATTCCATTAAATAACAGATAACTGTTCACCTCTGATATGCTTATAACAACAATAATATCAAATGTTTCATATACAATAACAAAACATTTTCAGCCACTGGAACACTATCTGTGTTTGTTTGACTTTCCAATAGTGTATTAGAACTATATAATTACACACACATACATTACAAACTACGCATCTAGGAAGTTAAACGTTTTGACAAATTAGTCTTTAATCTAGTCTATATTTATTCTTTCCTAATGCTTAGATTTCCAATACTTTTGTAAATCTTGAAAATTTCATTTACATCATTAAATTTTCGTAAAGAGAATTTATGACATTATTTTTATTACACAAGTTATAATATTTATAATTTATTTGGCACAATGATACTAATTTAAATAAATAAATGACTACATCCTGACTCCTAATACCAGCGTATTTTCTACTTTACATATTAAAAACTCTGTAACACAAATAAACATACATTATTGTCAAAATAAGTTTATTTCGCACAAAAAGTACAAAAATTTACAAGAGGCAAAAGTAATGGCCCGCCGTTAAAAGTGCAGCGCCCACAAAAACATTTAACGGGCTTGGCGACCGCGACTCCACTGTTTTTTACAATTTTCGGTTCTCCGTGGATCGTAACCATTCCAACTAGCTGAATAAATCTGACAACCTCGTACCGTCGATATGTTAATGTTGATGTTAAGATCTCTTTGATTATAATAATAATTGTAACGTTCACATCATGTAGAGATAGTACTTTTATTAAATTTCTTGTATAAAACTCAGAATGTTATACTCATTCATACGAGCAAGATAACGACCCTACAAATTCTACTATATAGACTTCCAGTTACTTGCAAGGCATGTGGCGGTGAATTGTTAACTTTATACTTTATATATTAATTTTAATTAAATTACATTTGAAATCTTTTCAAGTTACAAAAACGTATCTTTTATTTGTATAAAAATGGTCGATGTGAATTGAGTAATACAAATTGAATTCCTTAAATAAACGTTTCGAGATCAAACGTTTTAATCAAAATTGTTTTCAGTCAGCGTTCATCTCTATCAAAAATATTTTTGCTGACTTTTTACTGGAACTTCTATCGCAGTGATCGTCTTACTCGGAAGACCATGTCTAGATAATTGATTAAATATCATTTCTGTCCGCGGAGTGTTCTTCTTCGTTCCACATCAAGTTTTCATCTTAGTTCAGAACACATCCATCACAGTCGAATGTCGGAGCGACGTGACGTAACACGCGACACACGCCGCACCTCGTTACGCCGGTTAGATGAAAAAAGTGTTTAATTATCTGTAAGTCTGCTTTGCTTTACCCTGAGTGTTTATTTGACAGATGTTCAAAACAAGTCGCTGGAGTTCAGATAACGTTTATAAATAATACATTTATTTATTTCCATTTTACTTTAACATATTCTCTTATTATTTATTGGTGTGGTGGAGTCAGTTTTGGAAACTTCTTGCTTACTAATATGCAACGAGATAACTTTCAAAGTATTAAAGACAAAAAGGCGGGTCGGGAATGAGCTCCTAGTGATTTTTTAGACACTCGAATTTTTTATAACATATAGAAAACTTTCATATAGGTCAAATATCTACATTTTGTTTTCTATCGCCTACTTTGTTAACCTGTGTGTCGTTGCTCGTGTTGGTTTATAAATATCAGAAAACAAATTAAACATTCAGCAACACTAATGGACAGACATTAAAAGTTCTTAATATTACATACAATGTAGGTTTTATAGTTGCACAAACAAACATAAGGTTACACTGAATCGTTCATATAAAGATGAAAAAAATAGATTTCATTAAATTGTCATTGTTCCACCAGGATATATAGTTGATATAGTTGAATCATGTTATGTTTTCATTAGTAACTAACAGTCCTGTTTGAACTTTCTTTATGAATCTATGGATACGTTATGTATTTTGGGTAGTATTCAATTCTTTTGAGTATAATAAAAAATGGTTTTGGATGACTATGTAATTTCAAAATACAAAAAAATATTATTTAAATAAATGAATAATTTAGTCAATATACTTTAATAATCGTAATAATATCAAATCTTCATCTCAACTCGCTGACCAGATTTCAAACTGTCCCTCATAGCCAGCGGTCATCTTCTATTTAAGTTACATCCGAGTGTATTACTTAATGTGGATAGTTTGTAACTTACTCACGACAAGAATTATTACTCGGATACTCTTATATCACAATCATCAATATTATAAAGTTGCTTTAATTATTGTTATCAGAATATAACCGAGTGCTGCTGACTGAAATTTTTTTACTTGTTTAAGTTTAATTATTTTTAAACATTTAGTATTCAACCCCGATGCTGCAACCGTAAGCACAATTATGAATAAATTGTTTTCCTTATATTGTTTTGGTTTTGGCCGCTTTTTACTTTTATTGTTATTAGAAATATGAGTTTAGTTAAAATTACATATTTTTGTTGTACGCCGAAAGTTTCGCGGTAAAAAATATCATACTTTATATAACGATTTTGTGAACAATCCTTTATTCTGTAAAGTCCGTAAAGTTCATGTTTAATATTTCTGTTATTTTATCTAAACACCATCTATCCTTCCATCCATCCATCCATCAGTGTGAGTCTGAGTGTTATTAACAAGGTATATAATTACGATACGTTAACTGGTTATTACTCGATACTGAGAGTCAGCACTATAAACTTATTATTGATGGGAAAAGTTAGCGAGTCGGCCGCAGTCCGGAAGGTAGTTCCGAAGACTTCCATGTCTTACGTACGGAGGTGAACTAATGGAATATTATACAATGTTCAAGGAACGAGCTCATCAACATACAAACTTTAGACATCCACTGAGAGTGCAGGGGAATTGGAATCACTGATTTATGGTGATCCTACGGCTCTGTGTGTTATATTTGACTTGTTACTAGAACACTTCTGTAATACTTATATAAACATATTATACATATGGATGGTTCACAGACAGATGTCTACAATCGACCCTGTTAACATCAAGTATAATAAGGCAAACAACTTCAGAGGTAATTTCAGTAAACATCAAACAATGGCCGGTCAGCGGCGCGGCGAGGCGTTGCTCACCTTCTACAGCTACGGGCATGTAATATTGTTTGTCGTTCTCCAAACAAGCCATGATTAAGAACCGACTCCGGTAAGGTCTCACTCATTAATATCACACTGACTCATTGTTCTCAGCCCTTTGATAGAAAACTTCCTAAAATGACATTGTTATTTGTTACTTCGAAAACAGTCTGAAGCATTTAGAAACATTAAAAATATACAATGAAATAATTTTGAATATTATCTGGAAAGTTACATATATCTTTTAATTCTCAATATACGACGAAAAGGATAAACATTTTGCTTTTGAAATGGGTTGTCGGTTGACATTAGTATGGAAAGAAATTACAGAGTGCTAAAAGGTCTATTTAAATGACCGCGCCAGAAGGGTTTCTTAAATTTACTTTAACTGAGGTAGGCAACCATCAAACAAACGAGACCGCCAGCCGCTGGCCTCGCCCGACCTGCAGCAATTGGCAACATACATAAATAGATATATACAGATGAAATAATATACACATGAGAAGACACAAGAGAAGGTGTCAGTGTAACATTATTAAATGGAAGTCTAAATTATTGGGTACCATGTACCTATAAATGAACCTAACGATGGGTAGGTAGATATTAGAAAACACAAAATATATATTCAATGGTAAGAATCGAAAATGACAAAAAAAAATATAAATAAAATCAAAAATCATACAAAACATATTTGATTTTAATATTCGCACAACTTTAATATAATATTTTATGAATGGTAGCAAACGTTAGCTTAGTTACCAAAGTAGTGTTGAAGTAACAATACCTCGGAACAGGAAGCAGACAGTTGAGACGCGAATAGTTCCTCATTACAACAGAGACCAATGAATTTATACCGAGACAATGAAAACTTTACCATGGAAACATAAATCGAGGGCAATTTAACTTCAACAATGATTCATAATAATAGAAATGTAAAAATATCATTTGAAACAACTCCACAACCTAAATAAACCTGACACAAATATATAATGACAGATACAATATGACAGAATTCATAAATGTTTGAACAAATTTTAAATACACAACATTGAACACACGCAGCGGGTTCAAGCGAGCGTTCATTTCACAGCTGTGTAAGTGTGTACTGGAAGATACTAATTCATTGGTTTCTCAATCAAATTAGCCAATTAGACGTTCGTAATTGGGACGAGTAATTGGACAATCGCTTCTATGGCCTACTAGGAGCAATCTCACGAAGTTGATGTTATCTCGTCTTGAACACCTGCCGCCTTTCAATATTTAATACATTATACACTATACAAATATATGTTATAAATGATATTCATCATCAATATATATGAGGCTAGTATTTCAAACTGTAAAGTATTATACAGGTTCCATGTTTATATAGTTTCTGTCCAGATTTATGTAAATAAACATGTACATATCTATTGACATACATTCAACAGACAGGTTTCGACAGTTTCTATTTAGAACCGTCCCAGTATTATAAATACAATATATATATGATCTTTATTAGAAGCTCACTCTAACCTTGTGTAGTGACATTCGCAAGAAACAATGAAATAATTCGTTTGTGTGTCATAAACCTCTCCAATTAGTAACGATCTCTGTCGAGAGCCTGAGGTGTTATGAGGCGTGAAGAGGGTCAACAACGTTATTGTAACCGGGAAGATATAGCATAGCTTTTGTTATAAAAGATATTCATATTTTTTATGTTTATTACTAAAGGATTCTGTGTACTCATCTTATAATAACATTTTACCTCTGCCCGCAGCCAGAGGAGAATGAAGTTAATTTGAAGAACTGAACGCTTATTATTATGAAAGATAATGAAGTCAATAAATAGCCACAAGACTGTAACAAAGGTGCATCCTACTGCCTGATGTTTCAATGAAATACTATTTCTCAAAGATAAAAGAACTTTCTCACAAAAAAAAACAATTTATTTCAGAAAAGTAGCAAGTTATAAAGGACATTTCCTGCCAGTTTTCAACTTGAAAGTACATAATAACCAATGCAGATAATTAATAGCATTCCTATCATTATAAAAAGAATATTGTGAAAGATACTCTGATAATGATCTCGATCGATAAACACAAAGCATTCAGATTTAATGAAAGTCCGTATTGTCTTAGAGGAGAGAGGCGAGGCTAATAGGCTATTAGTACCCGTTGTACCCGCACGACCCGCACGCCACCTGCACAATGCCTGATATGCAATGCAAACTGATCAACTTGATTGCCACCTCTTTATAATATGATATTCTCAGAGTCGCTGTCAGGTCTCCATTTATTTGTGGATCGTTATAAAGTTCGTGTTCGTGTTTTGTTGCCAAGCTATCGTTACCCATAGACATTTACAACGTAGCGACTGTTTCAATAGCTTATGTTGCTTATAAAAAGAACATCGAAATAAATCCACAAAACCATTTCCACAAACATTCAGGAACTGTGATAATCCTTTATCCTGAAAATCCTCAGACAAACTTGGCGAATACAAATGCAAATCAACATATCAAAGTTAAAGCATAATAAGAGGAACAAAATAAACACGAGTCCAAAGTAAACTCACCACAGCCTCGTGATAGCATATCAATTCTGAGAGCTCCGACATAAACCGTAACACATGCGAATATCTTAAGTCGACTTGGATCCCGGCCGATGAATCAATTTGGGTCCGTGCAGCTAACTCCTTATAGTTCACTTCATTGATATCAGCTTCAACATGTTATAATTAGTTGTGTGTTAGACTTGTTGGTCGTATTACAGTGAGACTTCTCTATTATGTCCCTCACAAAACTAAAACAGAATTTCATTTACAGTTATGAAAGATTACAATAATGTATATGGTTTGACGAAAGTGATAATCAAGTTAATATTTTTAAATAATGAACACAATATTCTTTTAATGACGTAACTATATATAAATGTAATAATTTAGAAAAGACTAGGATTTTGGTTTGTATTCTGTGAGGTTTATTAAAATATGTGAAGTCACAGTACAATGAAGACGGTTGCTGCGAAGACATTCTCTCAAGAATAAGCAAGTTACAACTTTTAACGAGCGCACTATACAGTTATTTATTTCAGAGATTCATTACACATATCTCGGAATAATTATTTTCTTAAACTCAAATCCAATACCCATAACTCAATATATATATGTACTTAACTAAACATGTATTTAATTCATCACTTGATGAAGATGTCCTCGTATCATCAAAGTAAAGGTAAAAGTTCAATATCAGTTTGATAAAACCTGTACAAAAGTAAAAAAGTCCACTATAATATTTGTACCTGGATGTTGAATAAGTTTCTTAATTAATTATATAAGACCACATTAATAATAAGACATCATATTAATATACAATGGATGTTAGTAAATGTTTAATACAAATATATTTATAAACGAGGTCTGTTGATCACTTCTACTACTTCATATCTTTATGAGAGGTCTTGAAAATTATATATATGACTAATGGAATCTAAATTTAATCATTTAGTATCATATCCCGCGATAATACAAGAAAAAAGTATTTAGTAATTACAAAGAGTATGGTTGAGAACTGTAGAGAAAATAACAAAAATAAAATAACAAAGATTAATAAGGTTTTAGTTGTTTATAAAGTGTAATAAAGTGTTCGGGAGTTTCCTGATTATGAAACAATCGGAGGAACATTAGCGAGTAGGAACTTGACGGCGATATCATTCACAGAGTAATATCTGGAAAGTATTTCGACAAACTTTATAAACGATATTAATTTGTTTATTTTACGAACGACAGCCAACAGTTGATTTGCATATGAAATAATACAATAAAGGAAAATGTGACGACTGTTCGGAAACTCCAATAACGAGGACTACTTTATACATTACGTGAGTATTGTTATATTATGAATTATGTCAATTTTATAAATAACTTTAAATAGTATAATTGTATTTATGCGACAAGGATCCTAAGACATTATTTTACAAGTAAAGCGGCTCAATGAAGAAATTTTGAAGGATTTCATTTGAGTAAGTACATTTGTAAACAGAAGCTAAGTGAGTGACATAACACACAGCCGCTAGAGATTTTTTAACACATCGTTATCGTTTCCGTCTGTTGCATGTTCACTCTTGTACATGAAAAACATCCTATTATTAAGTTTTCATTCAATCAAAATCAGATATTACTGAAATGTCTCAAATGCGACCAAATTTTCATTTTTTTACAAATTAAATAACTCAAGAGTGTCTCCCGCGGTTTCGAAGTTGGTGCTGTTTAAACACAAAAATAAAATTTTATGAAGCCCAAGCATTTTTGTTTCAATTGTGTGTAACGTGTAAAAAATATATCAATTACAAGTATATTATAAAAGTTATATAATTATATACATAAATATTTATAGTACTAACTTCCACATAAATATATCGAGGATTTATATTTGACTAGCAACAAACAGCCGGTGACGTACTGGGCTGGGCTCGGTGGCCTGAAAGTATTTGTATATATCCATATATATGAATGTATGTGTGTCTGTACTTTGATGTCATCGAATTCCGATTGAAAGTGGGACATAAAATAGGGAGCTATCAAAGGAACTAATTTACATAGGTAAATTGAATTCGCTCGTATTTAAGCCCCACACGTATTTGTCGGCGACAAAGTATAGAGCGGAGGATCCGTTAGTAAGTATTGAACAATAACAGTTATCAAATATTTAATTAAATAATCGTATCATCATCTTCTGTGTCGTCTACACACAGTTTACTGTGTTTACACTAAACAAACTTCTTTCATGAACTTTGTGTACACAGTGTTTATACCGAGGCAAGTTATACGGTAACACAATAGACTTGATGTAAGGGGGTGATACACGAACTACCTACCTATGGATTAACAGCGACTGTTTTAATAATGTTTTAGTCATTATAAATTTTTCTTTTTCAAATGTCTAACATTCTCAAGACACATTTAAGTGGAACGATATTTTTATTTATAGTTTCAATAAAAATGCGATAAATAGCGATGTTACATCGTGTGACACAAACGGTTCGTATTTATTAATAATACAAAAATATTTGT